ACATTGCGGTGTTGCCAAGTCTTTCGGATAAATAATTATTTATTTATTTGCACAATCTGACAACAGCTGGTGCAAGACATACATATCTCATCTACTGATTTTTATGGAAAATAGGTATGTTAGTGTCGAATACGTGTCATATCGGAGAACCGTTATTCTTTGAGGTGATTTGATGGAGGCCATATTTTGTGTCAGAACGACATGCGCGATATATCGCACCGATTGGTTCCATTTTTTCAGCTACTCATTTTTCTCGAAGTTTGAGATCGCAATTGTGTTGTCAGGAGACTGAAGAATTCACGTACCAATATTTTTACAAACAAATTTTACAAAAAACATTCAAGTGCAGATTCGATTTCAGTATCGAATGCTATATTTTTCCTCTAAGAAAACCACGCCTTTATTACGTTGAATTTGTTTGTCAAAATTGCATGGTAAGTGAATTTTTTAGTATCCTGACAACAGAATTGCGATCTCAAAATTCGAGAAAAATGACGAGTGGCTGAAAAAATGGATCCAATCAATGCGATAAATCGCAAGTCGCTGGGACACAAAATACCTCTAGTGTTCATCGAATTACCCTAACATATGTTTCAGCAATTTGAATTTTCAACTGAAAGAGAGGATTATAAAATCATTTTTTAAAATCTTGAAAAATTAGTTCGGAATTTGCAAAAAAAGCTCTGAAATTATTTACCAGAGATCTCCATTTAATCCACAGTTATTTGCGCGGTCCCCTTTATTCAATTTGTACCCTTTTTTTAGTTATTCTTTGTGATTCTGAAACTTTTCAAACCAATCAAACGATGACAACAAACATTAATCACCAGAATAAAAAAATCGTTTCTTAGTTAGCCTGCACTGGAAAAAAAAACACATTGGATGTAGAGTCCAGACTATTAAAAACATTGACAAGAAAAAGGACTCTTGATTCAATCAGATTTAAGCTTAAATCAAAAGGAAATCCGCTCAAATTAAGGAGCTTGGTTCTTGATTTAAGCTTAAATCTGATTGAATCAAGAGTTTTTGATCATTTGATCATTTTTTCTTGTCGATGTTTTTAAGAGTTTGGACTCTAGATCCAATGTGTTTTTCTTCCAGTGTGAGAGAATTTCCCTATGAAGGCGCTTGAAATGTACCTAGATTCAGGAATATCCTTTCTCTCCTGTTGAACTATCTCATAACCAATAGTCTGGATTCAGAAGCATCTCCCAATTCCGCAATCCTCGTAAGATACTACCTACGAAAAATCATCTTCCATCAATTCTAGAAGACCCTGAAAGCATGACAGCGTTGTATCTTTGTACGATTTTAATGAAGCGCGTCGTTGCTTCATTCTCAGAATAGACAACGTCGAATTAAAATAAGCATTTTATTTGTGTTTTGGCTCGTTAGAAAGAAAGTTAGAGCGATGATCAGATACTGAATCTCTATAAATAGACATTTTGTCTTGTGTAAACTTGGGTTTTCCTTTTCTTCCCGACAGCTAGTTTGAACCGATCATCAAGTTTATGGTTACTTTTGATTACTTTGAGGTCATTCGTTCTTCGTCCAAAAGAACCCCGGGTAGAATTTTTCGACGAAAAAATTTAGATATTTTGAAATAAAGTTGCGATTTTGTTACGATTTTTTTGCGATCAGATCGCCAAGATCATCAACATCTGAGCAATTATCCTCAATCTTGTCTGAATATTATCTCTGTAAAATCAAAACTTTCTCTACATTTGTCATGATTTTTTGTCCAATATACTGATATCGTCGTTAGTGCAATTTCATTGCAAAATGCGATGAAATTTCAATTTATTTCAATTTTTTGTCCGATAATATTATACAATAAATCTACATCGATTAAATGGCGATATACATTCTTCGGTCAAATCGCAACTTATCGCGGTCACTGCTACTGGGGACTTGGTTGATCGACAAAAATTTTTGGTTAAAGCGATCGAAGCCGTGAGTTACTTTAAGACATCTTGGGATGAAGAAAATGCTCCGCTAAACTAATGTCGACGGTGAAAGTCGGCAATCACATAACTCGTTTGCGGTGTCTGAAAATCTCCGCCTCTATGTCATTTTTTTAAAGGAGAACAAATTGATATTATTTCTTGAATTTTTTGCAGAATTTTCTTCGCATTGAGAAGAAAAATCATGACAATTTTAAAGAATTGCCGTTGAGTAGTTTTCCATTTAAAAAATAAAGTATGATAGGAAGTCTGCGACGTCGCAAACCGAGTTATGTGATTGCCGACTTTCACCGTCGATGTACTCTTTTTTTCCTCGATGTCACTCAGAGGCTTTGCCACCTAACTTCACTCCTCGATTTTTAACAGTGCACAACCCAAAAAACAATAACCAATAATAACCCTACGTCTAGGTGACTTTGAGTTCCACTTCCCATAAAACACAACATTTCTTTTACTTTTTCTTACCGTGCACTCATGAAAAAGGATCTTTTTTTTTTAAAAAAAAAAAAAAAAAAATATGCAATGGCCTCATTTCAGCCTTGAACACGCACATCTGACCTAAGTTCCATTTCGCTCTACTAAATCCACTAATGCAATCCAAAAGTTGCTACCTCTGCGTTGGCGTGTCATTAGAAAGCAAGCCAGTTATGCGTATAAAGCGCAGTTCATCAATTGTCATCTCCGAGAGGCAGCGGGTCTGTGGAATGTGAAATGTTCCGATTTTCTTGGGGGCAAAGTCGAGGGCGAGTGGCATCTCAAGGAGCAAAATTAAGAGTCAGCTGTCGGACATCCCCGAGTGCGAACCTCTTTCTCCGCAAGGGATGGTGTCAGTGTCGGTGGCTTCAACCTGGCAGAGACGACATGGCCTCGAAGGGACAGGGACACGTGGTAAAGGTGAGGCGACTTCCGACCTCGAATACTACCCCGCTAAGGAAGAACGCCGTATGAACCTTTAGAGGGTGCCAAATTTCCTTTGACAAAGTATGTATTTTCAGCGAAACCTTTGAATATTTTCTTTCGAAATTTTTAGAGAATTTTATTCACGATCAGATCTACATTAACTGTTAATTTCAGGCGAAAATATTCATAATTCTCCTCAAAAATAAACGTTTTACAGGAGGTAGCTTGGCAACTCTCGTATGTTCAAACGACGTTTGTCCGTAGAACGGCAGAATATCCCGGAATATGTTGGGTATGTCGCACAATTAACGCGTGGCGCGCCCTCGCTCTCGGTGTGTAATTAGTGACAACAGGGGTCACGAATGTAAGATAAATGAAGAATCCCTGATTGCGCCCTCGAGGTATTTTTCTCCGCGGAGAGGATCAGGCGTTCGAGGGCCTAAGAATAGAAGTCATCGTTAATTTGGTGATACCTTCAGCAAACGCTTCTTTGAAATATGTATATTAACTCGGAATATCTGTGTAAAAATAAACAGCTCAAGTAATTTATTTGGTCAGGAATTTGAATTCGTCAAAATAATTTTAGGCAAAAGTATTATTTTTTTAATATCTACCAAATTTTTCTTATCGCCCATACTCTATGGGTGAATTTCCCCAAAGTTTCCCCCAAATAGTCGAAATTTTTATGTCGAACTCGGACTCAAAATCAAAGCTGGGTCACTCATGGAATATATGAACAACAAAAGGGCATTATACACCGATAGCCCGTTGGTGAAGAACACACATTTTTATTCACTCTCAGCAGTGCATAACTAACGTTTGAGGACCACCCGTTGCAAATTTTTCTTATAGCCCACCCTATAGATGAAAGTTTCCCAAATAGTCGAAATTTTTATATCGAACTCAAAATCAAAATCAAAGTTCGCTGGATCATTCACTTAATAGACAAGAAAAAGGGGCAATATACACCGATGAACCGTTGGTGTATAGAACACCAATTTTTATTTATTCTCAGTGCATCACTAACGTAAGGATCACCCATTGCAAATTTTTCTTGTCACCCCCCTTATGGACGAATTTCCCCAAAGTTTCCCCAGGGAATCGAAATTTTTAAGTCGGTCTTTGAAGATAAACAGTCAGTCAGCTGCAATATCAAAACACTCAGCTTATTTTCTTATTCTACGATACCTAATCAGGAGAGTAACGCGTAAAGCTTAACGCCTCAAGCGCGCGACGGAGAATTGGACCGCGAAGCAGTCAAGGGGCGTAGCCCAATAGTTTCCTCATCAAGTGTAACTTCTACTTCGATAATTACGATCAAAACTATGCACCGAATTATCAGACCGAAAGTTAAACCGAATCAGTCAACATTTTTCCCGATCTGCGTTACCCGCGCTTTACTTAAAGGCGCGTTAATAGGCTGGCATAGCGTCTCGCTGAAGTCCATTGGAAGCTGCGACTAGATTAATGAAGGCAAATTGTTAAAGTCAAGTGCGCTATCAACCGAAAACGAAGTGCATTTTTCGGCCGGTTAATAATAGTAACTGCACTGCAGTAGTGAATCCGGACTTGAAATTAACATTTTATTGAACTGGGTGGGTACGGTTGAGTTTTGAACTTCAATTTAGCACTCTAATCGCAGTTTTCTGCACCCTCATGGCCAATTTAGACGTCATTCAAGCGGGGTGTAAACTTGAAATTGCGCTTTGTCATTTGACCGCAGCGTGAAGCTTGTTAGTTGCACCTTTCCTCTCCGAGAACACGGATTTCAGTAATGACTCCTCGCTCCATTTTGGCAACTTTACGAGTATATTCTTTCATCACCCTACATCGATAAAAATTGGGTGAGAAATTGCTACTATAGTGGTCAGCATTATGCTAAATGAAGAGTTATTTACAACTGATTCGTTTGGAATGCTATTACGACCGTGCACCTTTAAGATCAATATGTTGTTAACTTGTTAACCGAATAAGCGCACATGATTTTGATCACAATTATAAAAAAAAAAAAAAAAAAAAAAAAAAAAAAAAAAAAAAAAAAAAAAAATTGATGAAAAGTAGGATTTTTTGAAGGGGAACAGGAAGAGTATAATACCTTCAAAAGGAATATAGAGAAAACATAAAAGCCGTACGAACCTGTAACTGGAAGCAATACTAATTCTCCTTTTTCCTGGGGGGTCAAATCCATTTTTTGAGTAACATTTACGATTTATTTCATAAATCTCCAAGCACAAATCTGGAACATAAAACGTGAACATGGTGTTTGAAACTTTTGGCGGGACAAAATTAAAAGAAAAACATGTTATTACATATTTATTACTAAACATTATTATAGAGTGTTTAATAACAAAATTATTTTTGGTTTTTATGATGTCCTTGGCGTACCGATGAAGTTAATAAGTTAAGAAGTTAGGAAGTGAGTTAATGATAATAATTGGTCAAGTTCGCAATCATGTTCCCCCTGTCGAGATTTCGAGACAAACAGCTGCAGTATTTTATGCATGGCATTGGCGTACATCACGTCTTAGGCGCATTTTCAGTGTGTTTCCCATTCTTTGCTCTATTTACTTCTAACGCTTCCGTGACAAAAGTTAGAATTCCATGTAAGAATGGCGTGTAGCGCTGAGCAGAACCCTGTGCCTCAATTTTCATGGATTTTTCTACGGAAAATATCTAAAAAAAACTTCCAAAATTTTTGAAATTGTTAATTGACCCCGGGTTTTAGCCCCTTCATCTCCTCCCGTAACGAATCGTAACGCGCAGCGACGGTGAAACTACCAAACCACGTATCTCGGTTTGCGACGTCGCAGACTTCCTGTCATACTTTATTTTTTAAATGAAAAACTACTTAACGTCCAATCTTGAAAATTTCTGTGATTTTTCCTCTTCGTGCGGAGAAAATTCTGTGAAAATTTCAAGGAATGATATTGATTTGGTCTACTTCAAAAAAATAAAATGCGAGCGTAGATTTTTAAACACCGCAAACGAGATACGTGGTTTGGTAGTTTCACCGTCGATAGTCAGATTCCACGAAGTGCCTTCGTAATACTTGTGTAAAAGCTGCCCCCGGAAAAAATAAAAAAATAATAATTATTGGTCTGAATGGCAACATAGGACGAATTTTAAAGAGGTCTTTAAAATCGAAACGTTCACAAAACGTCAAAGCAGGAACACACCCAGCCCAATTCGTTTAGCATGTCGTATAAATTTGTAATTGATACCTAGACTTTACGGCTAAGAACTTAGATCTGTATTTAAAACTGTCACATCGAAGAATAATGAAAACAACGGTTCGTAAAAATTTTATGCCGCTCAAAATAAAGAACGAGTGGTCACGCTCGAGTAGAAGTCAAAGCATCAGTCGTAAAAGTAATGAAATTAAAATTGTGAGGGAACCATCAAGTGCCTCGTCTCAAACGGAGAGACAATAAAGACCCACTTGTAAGTGGTTGAGGCGAGGTTATTCGGTCGTTCAGGCCCTGGGGATCAGACTCCAGATGTTTCAAGGCAGTATCAGAGTGAGTCCCTCATTCCGCGTCTTGTTCTACCAAAATCAAACATAACCACCTGATTGTGGGATTCGAGTCATTCAGTGTCTGATTAAAAATGATTCTCAGCAGGATCACTCGGAAGTATACTTTACAATAACTTTGACAAGTTCGCCTTCAAACATTTGATATATAGGCAATACAAGCGTCTTAGTAAAAATTGTCAATTTTGTAGTAAATTTGAGGTAAATAAATCGTCGCTTGGCTGACATAAGGACGTAACTACACATTGAGATGAGCCCGGAAAAACATTGAGATGAGCCCGGAAAAACATTGAGTTGTATGAAGGGCAGGGTTCATTTCAGAGTGGAGTTGTGCTCCAATGTCAGGTAGGCAACGAAAATACTACTGCCGGCCACCATATAAACGAACTCGCTTTATTCCGAATATTCATCTCTTGATCGTTTTTACCCAAAATTAGAATAACGTTCGACATCAAAATAAATGATTATCAAATAAAGATCACATTTTCCTAAAGTCCACGGGAAAAAAAGGTTACGGGTTATCCCCTGAAATTGGATGAGTACTACACAAATTTGTTGGATGATATGGACATTTCCAATTAATTGTGGTACTTAGTAGCGCAACTCAAGTTGAGATAATACCGCAGCATTTGGGTCAGTAAACAACTAATTAATTGGGATATTCAACCCCGCAATTAATTGAAAATGTCCATCACATCCATCAACCCCGTGCTCTTTTTTCCAATAGTGTCGTGATCGTTTTCCATAAAATTTTCATCGACTTTCTATCCTCGCATACAGTGCGTGACTTTTGCCGTTTCCCCACATCGCAAGATGGGAGCTGAAATGAAGTCATTCATTCTGGAGTGTTGACGCCCGATTTTTTTTCAGTCATGTTCCCACGCAATTCGGATTTCAGCGTGTTATCAGAGGTCCTATTAGGAGTCTCCCGCCCCCATAATCGCCGAATTTTTTTCCCAAAAAGAGCACTGAAAAAAAAAACCTGGACCGTGGAAGGAAGCCGTACTTACGGGCTATACAGACATACCGTCCGCGTTCCGGGCTCAGAGGCCGAATGTTCCGGGCCTAGCATCGAGAGCAATTAAAGTTACGGCTCCAGCACCCGTAACCTTCGGCGTCTGAGCCCGGAACGGACAATATGTCAATATAGCCCGTAACATATTTCTAGTGAGTCTATCTTTCTACGATTTTGGAATATTTAAAACACTAGGGGGAAAAAAACACATTGGATCTAGAGTCCGGACTCTTGAAAACATTGACAAGAAAAAATACCCTTGATTCAAGCAGATTTAAGCTTAAATCAAAAGGAATCCGCTCAAATGAAGAGGCATGGTTCTTGATTTAAGCCTAAATCTGATTGAATCAAGAGTATTTTTTCTTGTCGATGTTTTTAAAAGTCTGGACTCTAGATCCGATGTGTTTTTTTTTCCAGTGAATCTTGGGATTTCCCTACCCCTTAAAAAATGTTTGAGGTTATACCCCCTTTTCGGGCACCCGACATGGGTGCCAAGCCTTTGGCTGAGGACCATGTGCTCCTATTTTCCTGATCGGAAACGGGAAGCTCCGGTCCCGGTCTCCGGCTCAGGAGTTTATGATTATATAAAACACATGCGATTCTTTTGAGTTGAGCCGCAACCACCTAATTATAGCAGCTCCTCCTGCAGAGGGAAAGACCTGGAGAAATTGTCTCCGTTAGATAAATGTCTGTCGTCAAATTAGTCTTCCTCGAGTCCAGCGCGCCGCTGCGGAGATTTATAACGCTCCTGCACTGGAATCCCCTCAAAGAGCCGTTTTTGTGAACATTAACTTTTTAATCAAACACTTTATCCATATTCTCGCCCGTTCCAGGCGCCCTCTCTTATTCTGTTCTCTTCATTAGTGCATGCAGTGTCGCCAATACTGCCGTTCTAAGGAAAAACACCGTATGAGCCCTCAGACGTTGCCATATTTCTTGCAATGAAAAAAATTACTTTTAATCAAATACACTTTACCCAAATTCTCGCCCGTTCCAGGCGCCCTCTCTTATTCTGTTCTCTTCATTAGTGCATGAAGTGTCGCCAATACTGTCGTTCTAAGGAAAAACACCGTATGAGCCCTCAGACGTTGCCATATTTTTTGCAATAAAAAAAATTACTTCTTAATTAAACACTTCACCCATATTCTCACCCGTTCCAGGCGCCCTCTCTTATCCTGTTCTCTTCATTAGTGCATGCAGTGTCGCCAATACTGCAGTCCTAAGGAAAAACACCGTATGAGCCTTCAGACGTTGCCATATTTCGTGCAATAAAAAACCGAATTTACTGGGAAAATTTTGCATTGTTTTCTTCAAATTTGTTCGATAATTTTTTTCGCAATTTTGTCTAAAATATCTGAAAATGTCGGAGAAATACATGAATTACGTTTCTCAAGAAACATGTCCTAGTTGGGGAAACTTGGCAACTCGTGGATATTCGCTGGGCGTTTTTCCTTAACTCGTCAGAATAATTGTATTAATAACATTACTGTTGACCCACTATCTCTTTACTGTAGCGTATATAGCGTATGACACGTCCCGACTTCGTGGTATACTCTGACGCGTCAAGGCAGCACATACTGTATTGGCCCTCGGACGGAGGAGGGGGGATGGGGGAGGGGGAGTTCCAGACCTTCTCCCCGGAAATGGAGAATAATAAGCGTGTAAGATACCGGGGGAAATGTATCAAATCCGCACCTCTGAAAAAAACATTATTTTAAAAAGTTAAGAGTCATGTCTCGCCTTTCATTGAAAATTGTACATGGATTTTAATTGCTCATTGATTTTAATAGATATTGTTGGTTGAGTAGGTAATCTTACTTCAATTTCAGTTGAGAGGCAGGGGTTCTGTAGGGTCCACGTGGGCTGTACTCCAATGCCATTACACAGTGAACCATCGTTTTTACCTCTGTATGTAGAGTTTTATGGCGAATCTAAGCGCATTCCGAGAGGGAATTTCTATCCTTAATTTGAAATTAAAATCCTAACTAATTTAACATTTAGATTTGGACCGCGTTCGGCATAAAGGAACCAAGCTACATCAGTTATTGCCAAATTTAACGGAGCAACTTAATTTTTTACAAGAGAACACTGGAAAAAAAACACATTGGATCTAGAGTCCAGACTCTTAAAAACATGGACAAGATAAAATACTCTTGATTCAATCGGATTTTTGCTTACATCAAGAACCAAGCTTCTTAATTTGAGCGGATTTCCTTTCGATTTAAGCAAAAATCTGATTGAATCAGGAGTATTTTTTCTTGTCAATGTTTTCAAGAATCTGGACTCTAGATCCAATGTGTTTTTTTTTTTTTCCAGTGAACGTTTGTGCGGATTTTTTTGATAATTTCAAGGAATTTACTTCGTACTTAGCAGAAAATTCACTGAAATTTGCACAAAAATCCGCACAACCGTTGCCATGTAAAAAATTAAATTCGACAATAGCTGATGTGGCTTGGCTCCTTTCATGCTTAACGCGGTCCATTGAAATTAAACCTCCGAAACCTCCAAAGCCCACACTGAAAAAAATTATCGGTGTTTTTACCTACGTCCGTTGGTACCTCACACTGAAAAAAATTATCGGTGTTTTTACCTACGTCCGTTGGTACCTTTACCATCTCATTTTTTTTACCAATTATTGGTAATTTTAACAAGACAGACTGGTGAGCTTACCTAAAAACCGGTATTTTAA